TTAAATTATTCAATGAAGTTTTCAAATTTTTACATTCTCAAACTATTCAATTTTCCAATTTTTAAATTAATCAATGGAGTTTTCAGATTTTTACATTTTTACACTATTAAATTTCCCAATTCTCAAATTATTCAATGAAGTTTTCAAATTATTACATTCTTAAACCATTCAATTTCCCAATTTTCAAATTATTCAATGACGTTTTCAGATTTTTACATTCTTACACTATTAAATTTCCCAATTCTCAAATTATTCAATGAAGTTTTCCAATTTTTATATTCTTAAACCATTCAATTTCCCAATTTTCAAATTTTTAATCTGAAAATCTTCCAAATGTTAATTCTGATATTTGGTAAGTAAATATAGTAATTATATAATACTTTTGATAGCAAACATAATATCATTCATTGATTTAAATGTCGCGAGTTAAGTGAAATATCATAACTACTTGGAATAGACATTAAATTTTTGATACTGTATACTTAATTTTGTACATTAAATCCATACTTGAAGTGCTATCCTAACATCAAGGAAAAATATGTGCTATTTCAATTTGTGACGACAACGAAAATTGTTAATATAATTGTTAATATCACAAATATCCACTATTAAAACAAAATTTCTGCATACAATTTTTAACTTCGATAAAACTAACTTAAGACATGAACTGAACATTTTTCTCCTAATTTTGTGAACGCGTAAAAATATTGTGTGCAAAGTTCTATTGTTATTACTAACATAGCTTTCAATGTTCTATTTGTAAAGGATACGTAAATCACTAAATCCTAAATTAATTTCCTAAGAAATAAAGGCTCGTTAAAAATGATATTCCTTATCCATTATTCAGTTACTAATATCCTGAAAAAATTAGTTCCATTCTAACTGGTAGAGCAGTAAGATAAATTTATCTGGTTTCAATATTTATAGCAAATAAATTGCAGCACTACAATGTGTATCGTTAAATAAACATTATCAAGATAAAAAACACTGTGAGTGATAAATGTTATATATGGAAGTGCTAACAGTCATGATAATACAGATTAGCACATCTGTGCTTATTAATAATCGTTGAAAATATTTTAAACGTGTTTCTCTGTTGCTGTAAAAAATTAATTAATATTTACACTCGGTTAAAAAAGTCTTCGTACATCTCGTTAGAATTTATTTTACGTTGTATAATTTTAGCAGATAAAGTAGTAAATAAATAATATTTACGTTATTTTAATACAAAGAAAAGTAATTTACAGTCATTTCTTAATAATTAAATAAATAAAATAAATAAATTTTTGTCATCTCGTTTCTGTCACGTTATTCTTTTTCCTCAGTTTAATTATTAACAAATGAGTGTAAATCATTTTCCTTTGTACTAATAGTAATGTTTCTAACTAAAATAACGTAAATATGATTTACTTACTACCTTCTCTGTCGAAATTATACAAAGCTAAATAAATTCTAACCATGTTCAGAGAAACTTTTCTCACTGATTGTGAGTGTATATTAAACTAGATAAAAATTTGACTAAATTACACGACATTTTAAAGAACTGTGTCTGAAGTGTTTAAAGTATATACTGAAATACTAAGATTATGTTGGTTTATATTAAGATACCTTTTGCTAATGACAATCTCACACAGTAATACTCACTCGCACCGCTAAAACAAAAAGATATACCTAACTGCTATATAAATTACGATATAAATTGTGTACCAAATGCTCTGGTGGCAAATCGTACATTCTTCAAATATATTGAAAAAAAAGTCTAACTAATGATACAAATATCCTCCGTCTAATTATTCTAATAACAAATACTGTTATTAGGAAGTGCAGCAAGTGTTACGGAACAATTTCTTTCTCGGCAAAGATAAATTCGAAAAAGGATCTATGGAGTGTAAAACTAAAGTTTTAAAATTAAAGTCCAGTGAATAAACATGGAAAATGCGCGCAGTAAACTCACGTAACAGCGCGATACATACATGCATTTTTCTCCTTACAACAAATACCACATTAGCATAAACTAATATTCATGCATAATGCAATTCTCATTCAAATACCTATATGGATGCAAATATTTCGCGATTAAAAGTTGAAATTGCACGTTTCATATTATTATACTTTATTTGCAATGTATATTTCGTAACTGGCATCAGCCATGCATGTACACAGCTTGCGGTTTGCAAATGCTCTTACACTAAACCAACCTTTTTCGTATTATTTCGATAATCGAGTCGGTGCTCGATTCGTTGCAAAACAATCGCGCGCTTCCCTTAACGTAAATGGTCACGTTTCGTGTCATGCATAACGAGCAAGTTTCATGCCCTGTTTAGTTTCAACAGGTCTACGCCTCGAAAATAATTCGAGCAAACTCAAACGAACGAAAAAAGCCATCGATCACTCAAAAGCTGCGATTGTGTGATAATTTCGCGTAACATCTTGGGAAATCGTCGAAATATTAACGAAGTTCTTTCGTATGATTGCTACGCGTGTATAATGTACATGCCGCAAGTAGGAGCAGTAATAATGAAAAAAAAAAAAAACAGTGGAAAAAATAATTCGAAAGAAATAAAACAGATGCTTAGCATGCGACGTTACCTTGATAGTCGTCTGTGTAGTGTTGTGATTTTGGCGGCGGCGGGGGTGCATTCATGTATTCTATAGATGAGCCGAAAAAAAAAAAAAAAGGAAAATAGTAATTAGCCGTAAACTACAACTATCACGAAACGGGAATCACTCAGCGGTATCTCAGTTCACGGTGAACATTCGACGATTTCTTGAGTTAATGGAACGCACTCTCGTTCGGCATCGATCGATATTGGTGTCTCGGAGTGAACCACTTTTCCAATAATGCATTAAAAGAGAAACGAGATAGTCGACGAAGAAATTTATATTTTCAGAGAAAGTTTCCACTGGGTTACAAAATAAACGAGACGAGGATACACAGGTGGCAAAAATTTTATCACTTTTTCTATCGTGTCTTTGTATGGTGGTTTTTCGAATTGTCGCTCCTTGGGGTACTGAAACTGTAGAAATAACAAATTCGAATACTTCACGAACGATGTTGAATTATTCAAATAGCGACGTATCTAAGAGCGTTACAAATTACTTAAAAAAAATAGTTTAAAAAAAGTTACATAGGTGTGACATAAATTAAGAATTAAAAAAATATTTTTGCTACATCTGTATATGTATATGAACATTTCGGGGGGAAATATTAATATACAGAATAAATATTAATATAAAGAATAAATCGAAAATGTAGGGTAACATTTTTTCATACGAAACTTTATTTTAATGTTGACGATTCGCCGAGTACGCGAGTACTTACACAACTGTGAATATTTTCTAAATATTCCCTGTGTTCAAATGATCCAATGCAAGAATAATTTTCTCTTTTAGCTGCTCCTTACTTGTAATCTCATCGTGGTACACAAGAGGCTTGACGTTGCTTTGTAAGTAAAAATCTATCAAGTCTGGATATGACTTGTTGCATATGAAATGGCCGATTTGAGAATTTCGTTACCTAACCTAACCTTAAAAATATGCTACTAAATAACCTAACCTTAAATATGCTACTAAGTAACCTAACCTTAAATATACTACTAAATAAGATTTATTAACTTATTGTAAGTACATTTTAAAACTCGAAGCTAACCAAAATTCGTGAACTATTTTATTGTTAAATGGCAGATTGTGTACGAAAGGGAACCATAGATAGAAATCAAATTCCACTGGTCACTTTTTACTTGGGCAAAATTTTATTTTAAATCGTATTACGGAAATTATTTTAAATAAAAATGTTAACCTTAATGGAGGTACTTTTTTTTAAAATGAATAGCTAAAAATCGTGGAAACTTTCAAGATGACCTAATACAACAGTGCATCAATAAGATATTTCTGAAGTAGAAAAGGGATGGAGAAATAAAAGTAACATTGCTATCAATGCACAGCATAAATAATGAGATTTTAGTCAATCGAAAGAATGTAAATAATGCGAATAATTGTATTTTGTCCAAAAATAAATTGTTAAATTAATTTTTTTTAAGAAGGGCATAAATAATCTCGTACAGCATACGTCGATTAATAAATATTACATTTTTACTAAAATTACATACGTTGAAAGTTTTATTAACATTTCGGCCATTTCATATGCAACAACCCAATATTGTACCACAACAACCGATTCAACACGGATATTGGTTCTTATTTTCAGTTTTTCATTTCATTGTTCATTCTTCACTGCCTAATGTGACAAACCTAAGTATCAAAACAGGTAATTTGCAATGATATTTGTTAGACAGTGATATTTATAGTGCAAACGCCCACGTATTCGACGAATTTTCAACATCGATTTATTCTGAAATGAAATTTCACACGGCAAAATGTTACTTTACATTTTCAATTCTTTTTTTTAAAGGAAAAGTCACCTCTTTTCGGATTGTACCACCAGTTCGGAGACACCCTGTACAAGTATTTCCTAGATATTTTGTCATTTGATTAATATCTCGATAATTTACGACAATATAACGTAACAAGTCTTGTAGAAAAAGAGTAATTTTAGTGTTACTCCACTTATAGCATTAATATTATATTATACCATGTTATCGAATTTTCAACGTTTAATTTCATACTTGACATTTGATTCGATGTCAACAAATTCCACGTTCCAAATCATTTATAGAAGCACCATGTATTTAAATAATTATTCTTAAAAGAGGCTCCTTAAGATTCAATACCCATCATAAAAGAATTGAACCGTTCCATTATGTACTTCATAAAACAATTCACGGCACTGTATTTAGACGGCAGTCTGTAGCTGGTAAATTCTAGTAGTACCGACCTATATTAACGAAAAGTACTTCCTTCGAAATCAGGATAGGAGCGATTTTAACAGCTGTAAAAATTCAGACCTTCAAATGTGACGGTAGGTCGAGCAGTGTAGACCGGAATCGGCGACCACCAAGACGTGGTTTTTCGTCGTACGGTCGGCGAAGGTGGCGGAGGTGGGGGTTGATACCTAAACCTCGGTTTATGTTTATCCGGATCGAACAGTTGATTGGCAAAAGTGTCGGATTGTTTCAAAATCGACGACAGACCTTTGGACGTAGCGCTTCGTACTTTTCCCATCGTTTCTTTACCCTCGTTACTCTGCATTCTCGTGGAACTCGAGGCAGAGATTCGGCTAGCAAGGTCTGGAGGCGAGGACAACGAACGCATGTTATCCCGTCGACTGGGATACCTATGTGCCACCCAACGACCAGCTAGGTAAGGAGCGATATCTCGTAGCTCGTGGACATCCGGCGACGAAGTGAACATTTTGCCCAGTATCGAAGTGTTCTGTGTGGCGAATTTCTCGAACTTCTTCCTCATACGACCGACTGGTTTCTTTGCTTCGAGCTCTTTCGTTTCCGCCTTCCTGGCCGCGGCATTGGTAACTTTCGACGTGGAAGCAGACGAGTCCTTCAACTCGACCGTCTTGCTGATCACGTCGATGTGCGGCATAGATAGATCCTCCTGTTTAAGAGGCACGCGTGGAATCGGCGGTGACTCGCCTCTCCTGCGAGCTCTTCCTCTACGTGGTTCGTACTTCCGGCGTAACCAGGCTACGTCCGCGAACTCGTGAGGTTTCAGCTTGCCTTCGTCGACTTTCTTCAGTAAATTCCGCGTCAGCTCTGGATCGCTTTGAAACCTTTTCGGCGCTGGTACCACCCTGACTCTACCTCCGCGGAGGTCTTCCGCGCTCTCGAATCTGGCTCTCAGTTGTTTCACCGTGCCGTTTTTCACGAGTTTCAGGTAAGCGCGCCAGTACTTGTCCGGGTCGGGCGAAGAGTTGCGCAGCCAGATACTTTCTACACTGCAGGATGAATTCGATCGCGTCGTTGCGCGACATGGACTGACGCTATGCGGCCTAACGTGTTCACGGTCGCGTGAACACGCGTGGGGCAAGTCTCGCGTGTTGGTATCTGCTTCCCGAGCAGGACTACTTCCTTTCCTCTTGCTGGCCGCTCCTTTCGGCGAGGTCGAACGTGTCCTGTACCCTGACAAAGGTAGGGTCGCGTACTTCGCCGACTCTGTTTCGCCGAATAGTTCCCTCAAATCCGCGAAACTTTGCGACGTTGACAGTCTTCCTGGCCTCCGTTTCACCTGCTCCTTCTTCCCGCGATCCATTTCAGCTTCTTTCTTGTCGACGTTCTCGAAGAACTCGATCTTCGCTGGAACATCTTGCGACTCTATGTTTCGCTGAATCACTGTCTTTATAGATGTGTCAGAACTTCCTGTCGTGCTGTCCCTTTCGCTGCCTGAATTAAGACCTATAGTGTTGGTCTGAGTACTATTGTCGGACAGCGATATCGCTAGGAGAGGTGGTTTCCTCGACCATTCTTCCAACGCAGTTTCTACTCGCTGTCTGTCAACTGGGCTCTTGTTGTTCGGTGTCAGAACTAACAAAAAATCGCTTTTTTCTTTCCTCTGCAATAGGTCTCCGGAGCATGGCACTTCTAAAGAATGACAGCTACTCGGTGATACGCTTGTTCCGTTAGGCGTGGTCAAATCACGTGCTGCTTTCGACATTTTCGCTGATCCCGCGGCTATGCTACCGTGAGTTCCGCTAGGAGCTAGTGGCATCGACAATTTTGTCTGCGAAACTTTGTCTAAAAATTCCTTTCCGAGTGTCACGGAGATCCTCTTCTTCTCTATTTCGCTCATTGGTGGAGATGTCGCGGCGGTTTTGTCACCTACAGCTCTTTCTAAACTTCTCCCTCGACTGATGGAGTCACTTCTTCTCAACGTCGATTCCGGATGATCTGCGAACGATTTTTGCTCACCTGCAGACGTATCCGGCGTAATCATCGAGTGACATCGTACGTGAAGGCCTTTTCCATCGTCTACAACGCCATCGCTTGAGTCGGTTTGAGGTATAACCACGATTTCGTATTTCGATAGGGGATCGTGCTTATTAGTTTCCGGCATTCTTTCCTGCCGATCTTCGGCAATCTCAGTATCTACCTTCGAAGATGTCGAAGGCGTGGACTTTTGTAAATTATCGCTGCCGTATATTTCGTTCAATTGTTTCTTCAAAGTAGTCACCTGTTCGATCGATAAACTGCTCCAGAATTTTTTACTGCCACCAAGGCTCTTTTGCCACGACGGATGATCCAAGTGGTCCAAAGATTTCTCGTTTTGCTCACCGTTCGCCTTTCTCTGCATAGTACTTGCCATGTTTATCACCGACGTACCTCGCCAAAGTGGTTTGTACGTATCTTTCCGCGACGAAATTTCTCTCCTTCTCGAGGCCTCCAGCTCACTTTCCTCGGTTTCCAGTTTCTTGAAATGCTGGATAATATTCTCAACGGAGCGTTCTTTACACCTTAAGCCACAGTTACCGCGCCACTTCAACTTGTTTATGTCTTTGGTGGAGAACAGAAAGTCTTTATCCTTCTGAACAGCCTTCAGTTTTCCTTGCAGCCTGTTAAATTCAACCTCAGCCTTCTCTTGCGACCTCACCTTCTTCCAACGGTCGTAATCTATAATTTCCTTGTCCCTCGTCCGTGGTTTCAAGTCGTTCGAAGAAAATGTCCTCTCTAATTCACCCAATCTTTCCAAACTCGAGTAGAAGTCCTGCAACTCTTTGTACCTGTCCGATTTCTTTCTGTTGTGCAACATTTCCAACATGTACTGGTGATAATATTCACGATCGATCGGTGACGTGCAAAGGGAAGCAGCGCTTCCAGTCAACGATAAATCCGATCCAAATTGTGATCTCGTTCCTTGCAGCTGTTCCGCTTCGCCAGCACTTCTAGCTCGAACTTTTTTCACGGTGATCGTGTTTAGGCCGTTCGATTTCTCTTGTTTCAAGGTGCGTATGCGCCGACAAGCTGCCGATCTAATCGGGGATGTCAGAGAAGAACGCGGAGGCGAAAGCTTCGAGTCTGAACATTCTGACAAGGTCTTCATCGGCGGCTCGCTTGAGCTTCTCTCTTTCAAGCGTTCCCTGGTCAAGTCTGGGCTTCGATTGCGCAAGGTTGTCGACGATCCAAAATCCTCGATGCCCAGAAGACTGTCGAACTTGCTGACCTTCTGAAACACAGATCTGCCAGGCCAGCTGACACCGTAAGGACTCGAACTTCTAGAAGAAACGTTTTCTAGTTCCCAGTTTTTGAACCTTGAATTCGACACTGGACGCTTGTGAGCCAAGTAGATGCTGAAAGACTTCAGGGATGGCTCGGATTTACTGCTCTCTCTGATATTCTCCTGGTATATCCTGGCTCGTTCGCTGACAATTAATCCTCTGGAAGGAACGTTTTCGCTTGAAACAGTCGAACAGATAGATCTCAAGAAGAGATTCTGAAAGAACGTGTCTGATCGAGTGACCTCGTGATGCTGTTTCATTTTTTCTATAGTCAACGTGGACGATTGATCGTCTAATTTAGGTGTTTTCTGTCTAACATTCGGCTCTTCATTTTTAATATTTCCCTCTTTAATAGTTTCAATCTCCAAATCAGTTCCTTGTTCTTTTGCGAGTCTTTTCACCTTCGTGGTCCCTCCATTCTTTTCCTTCCGTACATTCTTTTTGACCTCTATTTTCTTCTTGCTTGAACTAGGATTAACGTGTATGGTTTCCGGCTTTTGTATACGTGGTCTGACGATGGTTTGAGGTCTCTGTCTCTTCTTTTTACTGGACTCGCTAATAGCCTCAGAGGAAGACGTTAGCTCCTTGCTGTAACCTATTGTGTTAGGTTGTCTCACTCTTGTCCTCGGTTTCTCAGTGTCTACCGTATTACGTAAAATCAATGGAGAAAACGTGGAAGAAGACGTCACGAAAGAAACATTCGATTTTGTTACCGAAGTTGAATCAGCAGGTTTCCTTAAAATATCTTGCCCCTTTGACGACACCGTTGTCGCTACCTTCGAAGACTTATCTTGCGGAGTCTTCTGTTTTTCTTTACTTGAAGTCGACGGGTACATCGTCATGGGACTTTTAACGACAGTTCGCGAAAGTGGTATCGCGGTTTGAACGTCTTTGGCATTCTTTTCTCTGCATTTCTGCAAATGTCTTTTACTCTCGATCAGCGACAAATCCACGGAAGACCTGGCAAGTCTTCTGGAAGATTCTTCCTGTTCCTTCTTAGTTAACCGTCCCCTGACGCTGGTCTTCTTCACACAGGACACAGACTGACAGATTCCGTTCGCGGGATACAACTCCTCCCTCGACTTTGTCAAGGGATGAACCGCGTACCTCGAAGTCACCTTCCCGATCGAGAATGATTTATCGTCCGCTCGTTTCGCCTCCGGTTTCATCGAATATTCATAGCCGGCCCTCCAAGTTGAAGAAACAGCTCCGCAGACCCGAGCTCTGCCTCTCTCCGAACTCGCACTTTTTCCCGCAGTCGCATCGGGTAAACTTTGCGATAGACAAGTCTCGGACTTCTTCTTGTTCAGTGTAACGGACATCGGGGCGGAAACTTTCGACGAAGACGAGGTCAGACTGTTGGAGGATGTTCGAAATACGTTCGAGGTCTGGAAACTTTCTCGGCTCGGCCTGTGTCTGTCCAGATTGCTACAGAATCGTTCCCTCAGTGACCTAATGCTGCTGCACGCGTCATCCGTGAAACATTGCTTGTGCCTCGACTTGAAGGACGCGCTGTCTGTTGTTTGTTGTTTTACGCTCGACGTGTACAGTTTCAAGGTTTTACTGTTTCTGGAAGACTGTCTTCGCGGTGGAGACGGTGGTCTTTCCAGCGCAACTGCGCTCGAAAGCGTTCTACTACGTGGACTACTATAGCCTCTGGAGGTGTTTGTTCTCACGACAGCCGATCGAACGTCCATTTTCTTGGTCGTTCTGTTCCGACAGACCGGTGATCTTTTGTATCGCGGTAAAGTTGTCGACGATGAGACAGAAGGCGTGGTAGTAGAAGTGAAGCCGTGTTTTCGGTGTACACGGATCCGCGTCAAAGTGGGCGAGATCGAAAAATACTCGAGCCCAGTATCGTCTGTGGACAAAGTGTTGATTTGGTTGGTTTGATCGCGTGTTTCGTTTGCGATATGCGTGCCGTTCGTAGAACCCTGTCACCAAAAATTTTCAAGAAAAGAGTCTTTCAAGCTGGTGATGCTAGGTTTGTTTATTTTTACTTTTTTTTTTCGGTTGGTTTTTTTTTAATCCTGCGCAGCGTGAACATCGGAAAGTCTTCTCGGCTGTGGTATACTGCTGGTGCATTGTATTACGGAGAAAATTGAATCGCACACCAATATCGATAGATACCGAGGAGAGGCAGTGCGGTGTGTAACTTAAAGAGCTACATGAGAGAAAAGAATTGCGGAAAGTATGGGTTCAAGCTGGACGTCTTAAAACGGTATAGCTACAGATTTGTACTTTTCATTCGATGCATTATTCAAGCGAAATGAAATTCAAATCATTGTGGGCTCACGTTAAACCATATTACGCGGCAATTATATCGTCTGGTAACGTAGAAATGTGCTTGTGTAATGTTTATATTAAAGTGATTTCAAACGATCCTGGAATAATATTAATGTAACTCGTTCGAGACGATAGTAAGGTGTTGCGAGCAGAGACCATAACTGTTGTAACTTTAATACGAAATAGTTATAGTGTAACAATTATTTTCTCGATTTAACCGCGTTTTGGTCACGAATAATCAGCACAAATGACTAACATTTTTGTTTTGGTTAATGACAGTAATCAGTATCGACGACAAAAAATTTTTTGCTTAAAAATTATTAATAACCGTCTTGTTTCTTCACTTTATTACCGAAGATTTTCCAAACCGACGTACAGTAAGTAGTACCACAAGATTTATACAAATTATTGGTAAACAGTAATAAGAATTTTATTGTTGACAATTTACAGTAACAATTTCTGTCTTATGATAATGTCTAGCAGTAACCAAAAAAAATTTTCGTCGTCAATAATGGTGATAGATAACTAAAAAGAGATTTGTTCATTTATATAGGTTATTTGTAACGAAAATATTCAATAAAAATTTTTCAATCGTGTTAAATTCTGAGGGATTTCCTTAAAATCTTTCGATCACTATTTTCAACCGAAGCAGCAATTGTTTCTAACGATTTTTTAAATAAAAATTTTTAAAATAGTTACTTTTGGTCCCTGATTGCAATTTTACGGCGAATGGTTCACGACTATAGTTGCACGCGGAAAGTACTTTTTACGCGCTATAAATATCCCCGCGTTATCATTTATTCTGCGTTAATAATTCGTTACGCGTGGTACGTTTGATAATCAACGAAGAAAATTTCAAATTTACAATTGAGAGTTCTCGCTAAATGAGCGATTCTGCGGGAATTTCTGCGATGACACGTGGACTGTATCGTTTAAAAAAGAAAACAAGGTGATTCGGAAAGATTATGAACGTCATGCTTGGAGGCGTAAGGTGGTAATTTCAATCGAAGCTACGAGATAAAACGAAAGTTCAGTGACACCACAATGACCGTGCACAGACTTAGTAAAACGTAATTGTCATTAGTGATTAAACAAACGTGCTCAAAAAGTATCAAACACAATCGGACAATTATATATGCACACATGCCTACGTAACATCAAAAGGCGGTAAAAACGAGAAAAGAAGGAAAAAGAGCTTGCACAGAATGTAATAACAAATTACAATGCTCTAGCAAAAATATAGCGATAGCTTTGTAAATCAAAATGTGTTATCGTATCTCTGAATACTCACCCTTTGGCCGTTCTGGAGCTGGTTTACGAAGTCCATGAAGGGGTACGTCACCACCACTTTGCACCGTTTTGTAGGCTAATCTTTGCTCAAATTGATTCAACGGACTGATGTCTTCCTTACGACGGAACACCAGGGTAGAATCACTTTCGTAACCGGACTCTTTGAGAGTGCTATGCAGAAACAATTTTCACGGTTCTACAGATTAACTGTTTGGAAATATTCGTTGTAACTTAAAAGTTCGTTCGAGTAACTGTAATGCAATCTTAACTGTAGAGAACTACACTTTGGAATTTTTGTAAAGGGTGCGGCATAAATCGGTCTTGTAGCTCCTTGTGATACTTTGACAAAAAAATGTTTCAAACGAAAGTTCGTTGGTATCAAGCGAAGAGTTTATTGGTGTAAAGGAAATCACTGAAAGTGTGTTTTTTTTGATAGAAAATTGACGTCATTTTTTAAGTAGTATTATATATTTTTGTTATTATATTCGGAAATTACATGGGAAAATTAATACAGATAACTCCTTTCCTCCGTTAACCCTTACACTACCGGTCAAAAATTTGGAATCACTGTGCATTGCAAGTTACACAAAAATTTTCACAAAAGAGTTTACAATGTTTAAGAATTTTTTGTCATTCCAATCCGTCGAAATGAGGTAAATTTCTACTGATCTCCACAACGCCAATTTCAAATCTACAAAGAATTAGTAAGATTCGGTATTGATGAAAATTGACCCTTTTGCATAGTGGAATGCCCAACTTTTTATAGTCTAATTTGACCACAGTGAAAGTAATAGGGTGGACAAAGTCGAATATCTCAAGAATGGTGAATTTTACTTGAAGTGGACATAGCCAGGTGGACACCCTGTATATCAGTTCTGAGCGAGTGTTCTTGTTGTCTTTCTGCATGCGAAACAACGTGATTTTTGAAACACGAGAAACATGAAATACAGAAATAAGTGTCACAAAGGAGATTTTATTTGCCTGCAATTGAAATGACGTAGAAAATCAATTGAGAATAAAATTGTACGATTTTCAGTGAAAAAGGCAACTGTTTATGTTGATATAATAACACAAGATACATTACAAATCGCTATAACATTTATTTACTATACAACACAAAGTCCCCAGATATACAGAGTGTCTCACAGCTTTCCACATAAACTTCGTCGGTGTATTTTACGGCTAAAAACGAGGCGGATATGTCATGCAAATTTAAGCTCGAAGACTATTTTTGACTGTCTCCTTTTTCTATAGTCATTACTTAACACTTATGTCAATAACCGGGTGCTGGACGATGAAGTAGACGAAAATTGTGATTATTGACACAAAGGTTAAGCGTAAAAGTCTGTTACAGTTAAACTATAAATTTACTTACTGTGTCATGTACGGTTTCGCTAGACGATTGTTGCGCTGATCGAACGGCTGAAAAGCAAAGAATTTGTTGAATTTCATTTGTTAAAAGTTCGTAAATGATTCACAACATATACAACATGCTTTTTGTGTATTTATCGATTGATATACATATATATTTGAGTTCGCGATAATTTGACATTGATAAAGAAAATACTGAACATCGCCCTCAGGTGGATACAAGACCGCGTAATAATCGATAGTGTGCCCACATAACATTGAGTAGGAGTTACACAACTCATGCGACATTCGGCTAATGCTAAGCGAAAATTAACGATGAGGGATAAAAACAAGCAAATGAAATGCCATTTGGGTAATAGAGTCGAGGCCTCCAAGCTGTAATATATTCAGTACAGAAGAGGTAGAAGTAGAAAAACATTTGAAAAACAGACATCGATAGTGATGATAGCCAGCGATAATGCGAAACGGAAAGAGACGAAACTACTTCAACCATTAGATTATCTTGAAAGTTCTCGTGGTTTTAAACAGTTCATTTTGAAAAAAAACATAAATCCACTGAAATTAAACATTTTTATTTCAAATAATTTCTGTAATGTTCGATACACCTTTGCCAACGTATCAGAAGAGCGTTAATTCCGTGTATATGAAAATTCGAGTCTCTAAGAGAAAGAAAGACGCAAATGAAGCTCCTCGATCCAAACCTAGTTTGCACTTGAAAAAATCGTGCTTACAGTTTGGTGGTTTGTTTCGAAATTAATTCACTACAGTTTACTAAAACCGGGTATCACTATCACTGCAGAGTCATAGAGTAACGAATTGGAGGTTGTCCATAAAAATTTCTAAAAGTCCAAAAGTCCTATTTAAAAAAAAGGCTATATCCTCTTGCATGACGACGCCAGACAACACGTAGCAAGCACAATTGTTCAAAAATTGCATCGATTTGATATTGAAATTCTATCGTATCTCCCATATTTCCCTGATTTATCTTCAGTCGATTTAGGAACCAGGAAGATATGAAAGCGCCTTTTAGCAGTTTCCTTCTCTTAGAAATTTCAGATTTTTATATACGCAGAATTAATACTCTTGCAATACCTTGGCAAAAATATATCGAACATTATAGAAATTATTGTAGTATCTGGGCCTCCATACCCAAATAAGAAACCGACAAGGGACAATAGAGAGGGAGTGGTTGGCGTAGCGCGCAAAGCCTCGGCTTGCTAAGCGAAGGTCCCGGGTTCGATTCCGTTGGGTCCCTCAATATTTTTCCCTAGGTTCCTACATATGGGGGCTCGTCCGGGATGGAGGCATCTACGGCTGCCCGAAGCCAGGCGCTGTGAGATGAAAATATGTGAAAGGGTTGCACGTCTCCCAAAAATGCGTTGTTTCGGCTGTGTGCCACTATGTGGGGGACTGTGCCCGAAAGTATTGAGTTGTTAAACTTAGGTCATTCGAGGGCGAATGTCAGTTCAGAATGGCCGAGTGTAGTATCGGGGCCTCCATGCCCAAGGGCCTCCATGTCCAAATAGGAAACCGACAAGGGACAATAGAGAGGGAGTGGTTGGCGTAGCGCGCAAAGCCTCGGCTTGCTAAGCCGAAGGTCCCGGGTTCGATTCCGTTGGGTCCCTCAATATTTTTCCCTAGGTTCCTACATATGGGGGCTCGTCCGGGATGGAGGCATCTACGGCTGCACGAAGCCAGGCGCTGTGAGATGAAAATATGTGAAAGGGTTGCACGTCTCCCAAAAAGAGTTGAGGAACAGAGATTCGGCTGAGAGTGCCACTGTATGGGGAAGTGTACCCAAAAGTGTTGAGTTGGGTTGTGTTGCACTTAGGTCATTCGAGGGCGAATGTCAGTTTAGAATGGCCGAGTGTAGTATCGAGGCCTCCATGTCCAAATAGGAAACCGACAAGGGACAATACAGAGGGAGTGGTTGGCGTAGCGCGCAAAGCCTCGGCTTGCAAAGCCGGAGGTCCCGGGTTCGATTCCCTTTGCGTCATTCCCTTAGGTACATTATTTTGAATAAAAATGTTTAAGTTTAATGGAGTAATCTTTTTTCAAAGTGAACAGCTTAGAACTGCGGCAACTTTCAAGACGACCTACATAATACAACAGTGTATCAGTAAGATATTTCTGAAGTAGAAAAGGGACGAAGAAATGAGAGTACTGTTGCATTCGATGCATCGCATAAATAACGAGATTTTAGTAAATCGAAAGAATGTAAATCATAAAATGGAGTTCGTTACGTTTTCAATGTAATAAAATTTGTTATAATTGTGATGCAGAATCGCACTGAATATTGAAATTTGATGGTCACTTAACAGAAAAAAACGTGGCATTTTATTTTGACCACAATATTGAAGTTATGTAAAAATGAATTGACTTTTAATTATTGGATTCATATTCGTATTAAATTTCAAAAATTTTCCGAGAAGACGAAACATTAAACTGTTAGTTTTAAAAATATCGATTTAACGATTAAAAAGGCTACTAATCTCATATGAAAGATTTACGGTCTCTCGTTTAAAATTTTATGGCAAATAATAGAATATAAACAAGGACACAAAGAAAAATATTTCTAATCGAATGTACCGTTCATGAAAACGTAATCTGTGTGAAAATGTCAAGTTTTTGGAAAGTTTAGCATGTGTACGTGTAATAAACGTGTAACTGATGTTTCTTTCCAACTTATAACGATGACGTTTTGACCACCTATTGTTACACAGTTCAAGATTCTGTATTTACGCGAAATATAATTTTAACATTACGTCAATAGTAAAATTGTAAAATTTGCAAATTTGAAAAATTCGGTCAAATTAGAAAAGTTTTAAAAAGAATTTTTCTATTTCCAGTATCGAGGTAAGAGCAATATTTAACATAAATACGGTTTGCACTTGAAAATTTCGACTAATAACTGATAACTAAAATAACTTATCCAAGTTCTATTCAATACTGAATAACTTGAAAACAATCTGGAAAGTTAGTCCATGGGAAACGTAATGTAGAATCCATTAGCAAAAACTTCTTCTATAAAAAGTTGTTCCAATTAGCAGTGCACAGAAATGCTACAAAATCGTAAAGTACGTTCAGAGAAAGAACTAAGTCAAGGAAAAGTAAAGAAAAAACTGTATCAAATAAAAATTTACTCGTGTAAGAAACAACTGTTTGCCAACGTTAACACGTTAAGCGCCAAGCCTGTTTTGTCTTCCTTTCAGTTTAGCCCGCGATATCCGATTTCACCGATATGCTGACGGCCGGAGATCTGTGTAAGATTGCGATAAAACTGCATGGTTTTAATAATACTCGTTAAAATTGCTTTTTGGTAACAAGTAATATTTAGGTACATCCTTTTATGATCTCCAAATTATTTAAAATTTATCAAGAGAAGAATATAATTTTTTAAATTGTATATCGTCACGGCCTGAACGAAAAGTATACTGTCAGTCACCGGCGACTGACGCGATCCAAACGGAAAGTATGGTGTCAGTCACCGGTGACTGACATGGCGCTTAACGTGTTAATACGCTCATAGCTGTCTATAAATCGGTAAAATCCACCACAACATCACCCAATTTCGCGATCCATGCGCGAACGATAGTTACACAGAAAAGGTAAGAGGATATTCCGTTGGACATCGAACAGCTAAGTCGAGCAACGTGTTTACGAAACGGAAGAATAACACGCTGGAAGACAAAGGAAGGATGAAGAAAACGAAGATGATCGGAACGTACGTACTTACAGGCAAGCGGACGATCACACACGTACAGAGAGAGAGAGAGAGAAAGAGAGGAAATACAGGCGGCAAACTAGGAGATAGCAGTGTAACAGAAAACACGGAAGAGCAGAGAGAAAGAGAGAGAATCGTGGCAACAGAGGACGTCATCGTGCATTCTACTTGTCGATGATGTTTGCAGCCTCTAACCCGTGAAGCGGCCGACGTCTGAGCGTTGGCGGTAAGAAGAGAAGGTGTTGTTGATGATGGTGACGATAGCATAATATGATTGGTGCTGGAAATAGAAGAAGACGTAGAAGAAGAAGAAGTGGGCGAGACGCGTTGTTGGTGATGGTGATGATGATGGTGGTGGTGATGGTGATGGTGGTGACGGTGACGATTCTGCTCGTCGCCGGTGGTAGTCTGTAGTAGCGTCGATTTGATAGCGGTCGATCTGTCGCCGATCGGCGAGCTCGATCGGCGTAAGCAACGATCCGGCAGCACGAAGCTCTTGGATCTTCCTTCCAGCATGCCAGCGTGCCAACCACAGTCGGTAGCAGCCCGTTCAAGAGGTCGCACGATTCGATCTTTCGGCTCGTCCTTGCCAGTTCTCGCCGTCGTCTCGATCGTTCGTTGTTCGGACGAGCGATCAAGAGTCCCGGACCTCGCGTAATCGAGGAGGTGCATGCTCGACCACTGCTTCGAGCCGGTTTGCGGTTTCGTGTCACGGATACCGCTACGGGAGCTCTCCTCCACGCTTGGACGAGATTTCGGAACGACCTCGAAAGTGCTCGAGCTGCTGACCGCTGATACCCTTACATTGTGACTGCTCTCCGGCCGGTAAGAGAGGCTTAGAGCACGATGACTCAGCTGCGCATCCCGAAGCTCCTCCATCTCCGTACCCTGACGATGCCCATTCTCGTTCAACCACTGTCCAGGTTGTTAGCGTTGTTATCGTCGTTGTTGTAGGTGTCGTCGTCATCGTGATTATCGTTGGTGTCGTCAGCGGCATCGTCCAAGGACCAGGGGAAGAAAACGCGTACGTAATCCGGGACGGTCCAAGATGCACACGAAAGGATACGATACGCAAACACCAAAATACACGCACACGCACACACACATGGAAATCGATCACGATAAATATATGTTATCGAGGATGGTTTTTTGGTGTTCGACGGGAGACAATTCGACAGAGATCGGTCGACGACCTTTGCGGAAATTGCCTCCAGGGTCGAAGGATCCTGGTGAGTTTTGAGTAAGGTTCGCATGCATGGTTGCCCGCGTGCTTTTATATACTAGGTGCAAAGGGACTCGATTAGATCGACACACGAGAAGCCAATTGTTAGACTACTTGGAGCCATTAGTTACTTTGTCAGTTAATTCGAAACTGTAGACAACAGTGACGAAAACGTATGGAAAATGTTGAAAGTATGTGAAGTGTTCTTGAGTAACTTCAAATGGAAGAATAGTATTTTGCCTTTAATTTCAAAGAAATATTTGCGAGAATTTAAATCGAGGTAATGAAACGTGTTCGAAAATCGGTATGATTTAAGTAGTAATACGGTATCTTATTTAAGAGATTTGAAACGAGAACGTGGAATGTTGGATGCAAATGACAGATGGAAATGTTGACCGTGAAGGGTACAGAGAGTGAAAGAATAGTGAGAATAAACGGGAATGAATAGAGAATAAGAAGTAGAGTGAAGGAGAAGTGTGGAACTGGTCCTTACTTAAGTATGGTTAAATATAAAAATGGCGTACCCCGTCAAATATGTCCATGACCTCGTCCCACCACTAGAAACATAGAATTAAATACAGCGTTAATCTATGCACTAATTATACGAGGTTAAAATGATATTAAAATAAAGAATAGTTAACTGAACGATGTGTTTCTCCGTGACTACTTTTTATCTAAAACGTACGAATATCTTTTTCACGTATTCTGCTGATTTTCGTTAACTCTAGAGAAGGTTGGAAATTATTTTTCGTTTCAATGAATTTGTGCTCTAATTAATCTACAATTCAAGCTACTGGCATAAGTTCGCTTGAAAACAATAATCGATCAAAGATAAATATACTCGCAAGAGAACATCCGGAAGTGATAATCATCGATTTTTATCAAATTTTAGTATCTGGCAATTCTCAAAAAAAATATTTGATACTTTTTTTTTGTCGGCAATCGTCCAGAGTAAAGGGGTGAAAATTGGTCACAAGTTCGGGTACAGTAAACATATTCAGCCCAATATCTCGAAAATTATTGGAGATAGAGGAATAGTGTAAATTGAAGAATTTTGCATTTCAACGATAAATTTGAAAAATGAAATATAATTATTGGATTAATGAGTTAAATAAATAGCGTTCACTGTGAATTTACTTAAACGTATTTTATTTCTTTGGCGCGGAAGGACGTCTTTAGGCTTAGAAAATCGCAGTCGAAGTAAAAGTGAAAAACTCGTAAGGGAAAAACTTGGGAAAAAGAAAGCAGGACTGCCTCAGCCTTTTACCCAGGTCACTTAGGTATAAACAGTTATAGGCCTATGGGTCCGATGACATCTGGTCTATTATATTATTTTCACTAGCAGTGTTTCTCATATACAGAGTGTCCCGTAACTCCTCGAACACCCGGAAATGGGGGGTTGCTGGAGTGACTCTGAACAACTTTTTCCTTTACCAAAATGTTGCTTGAAGCTTCGTTTTTGAATTATTAACGAAAAACACTGGCCAATCGGAGCTCGCGCTCAGGGACGAAGAACAGAGGCTCATTCGCGCGCGATTCCGACTAATTGCAATTTTTTCAAAAATTTATACAAACGTGGGAATGACGGCAAAAAACCATTTCTCTAAGTCTTATAAAAATAGCGGTGCAAAGTGAAAATTTTTTGACAACGATCGATAACCGAGAAGTCACGCGTACGCATTTGTTCACGATCGCGCGCGGATTAGAGTCAACGCTCCCGTGGTTGAGCGCGGGCTCTACACGCGCTCTGATTGGCCAGTGTTTTTCGTTAATAATTCGAAAATGAAGCTTCAAACAACATTTTGGTGAAGGAAAAAGTTGTTCAGAGTCACCTCAGGAACCCCCCATTTCCGGGTGTTTGAGGAATTACGGGACACCCTGTAAATAACACAATTCACTTTTGCTTACTGGCTGACGCATTATTATTAGTAATAATCCAACAATAATAAATAATTTTGAAGAAATGTGTTTATTACAAAAATAAAATGTGTCTAATATTAAACATAGAGGAATAGTGTAACTTGACGAATGTTGTACTTTACAACAGATACCATATACAAAAGTTTCATCAATATCGGTGACAATCACTTCAGCACGTTCCCTTGTCAGCTAAATTATTTCTAATTATTAACAATCTATTTTTTCAACAATTAAAAGTAATTTACTTGAAATTCGATTTGACATAGAGAAAAAGGTTTCCGTGTTCACAAAACAATTAAACAAATTTTTAGATGAAAAGCAAGTCACCGTGTCTGATAACTAAAAGCAGCGCTACTGAAGCTAACTAAAAAAATAAAGAGTACGGTAAAATATTGAGAAGCATGGACGAGATTGCGTGCGCCCGATACCTCTTTAACACATCGAATTTTCTTTTCGCTCGAAAGGAACGTAACGTGAGGTTACGTTTTGGGTTGAAAGAACGTGGCCACACGCTAACAAAACAAGCTTCGAAAAACCAAGTGAGAAAATAAGTATTTTACTTGGTAAACTGATTTCAATCGTTCGATTAATTGTTACCTTTCTTCTCGTCCGTGTGATACAAGTTGGCTAGAAGCAAAGCCAGTTCAAACGATCATGTTCGAGACAAACTGTGTTTGGGTAGCTCCTACGTACGTACCGCGTGTATTATAATTCGATAAAACGCCGTCAGGTATTGCATTAGCATGGGTTAATCAAGTTCTATTTATTTGTCAAGTTGTTCGATTTTGAATTCACGAGAAAGCACGCAACGCCAAACTTTCAGCCTAACTGTTCGTCTAGTGAACTGGATCAAGCTAAATACTATTTCTTGACTAACGGAGAAAAAGACACGTCGTGAAACTACCGATGTTTCTAAACACAAACGTTTTCTCTTTCGTAAATGATAATTAGACGAAAATAAAAGGACGTGTGTGCACATATATTTTTTAACAACTTTGTATTACGAAGATATACACATACACTGTCGGTCAAAAGTTTGGGATCACTATGCGTCAAAAGTTACGTTAAAATTTTCAGAAAAGAATTAGCAATTTTCAGGACAATTTTTATCACTCAAATCAATCGAAACGAAGTAAATTATTATTGGTCTCCACAACATCAGTTTGGAATGTATAAAGAATTAGTAACAGATTTAATATTGGTGTAACTCCCGTAACTCCGCGAACACCCGGAAATGGGGGATTACTGGGGTGACTCTGAACAACTTTTTCCTTTACCAAAATGTCGGTTGAAGCTTCGTTTTTGAATTATTAACGAAAAACACTGGCCAATCAGAGCGCGCGTAGAGCCCGCGCTCAACCACGGAAGCGTTGACTCTAATCCGCGCGCGATCGTGAACAAATGCGTACGCATGACTTCTCGGTTCTCGGTTAAGTTGTTTAGAGTCACCCCAGCAACCACCCATTTCCGGGTGTTGGAAGAGTTACGGGACACCCTGTATATGTACTGTATATGTACTTTTCCTATTCCTTCTTAAATTATAGGACATTTTCATTTTCTGTCGAATCATTAAAACGTAATGTAATTACTTTTAAATAATTGATGAAATTTTACGAATGTTAGGAAAACACAGAAACTGTATATGTACTTTTCCTATTCCTTCTTAAATTATAGGACATTTTCATTTTCTGTCGAATCACAGATTTAATAGTCAAGATGCAAAATATTATCAAAATTATAATACAAATATCGGCATCGTTTAAACGAAGGAAATATAAAAACTATGTTACTAGCATAAATAAGTGGAATATTTCTGAAGTGAAAATACTTATCGAACATGTTTTCATTATTGAATTACATAATTGTACTTTAGTTAAAATTGTGATACGAAACATCAATATTGAAAAATAACAATTAACCCCTTGAACTGAAATGACGAGTTCAGCTCGTCATGAACTTTCATGAGCAAACTGACAATGACGAGCTACACTCGCCAGAAATTATTGAGAGTTGAAGCTTTTTCTATGAGAAGTATATGTAAGTCATAGCGAGTCTTTTGCTTTGATACATTTGTTTGCATGCTTCTAGTAACAGTTTGAATGTAATTTGTATAAATCGTAAAGTAAATACACGATACGACATACTAATGAAGTGCAATAGCGGTCATTTTACTAGTGATATGCGCCTATAGAAGTCATATATTTTTTCGGAGGTGTTGAATCTTACTGTAATATTTTTGTTAAACATTATTGAAGAATTTCTCGACATTAATTATGTTCTAATATGTATATATAACAACAAACATTCGTGTAAATGTATGAAATAAATATTATTTTTACTAATAACAAATTATTTGAGCAACAAAACCGTGAGTTTCTATATCAATCCCTCCTCTTAAAACTAAGAAAATTAAATTGTCTGCCTGAAAATAAATTGCAGTTCAAGGGGTTAAAACAGCCAAGCACAGTTTTCCTTCATATTCACATTTTTGATAACATTTAACTCTTTCTCAAGTACAAAAAATTGTCGAATAATTATCTTTTTATTTTCATTCAAATTATCAAGTACAAAGAAGAAGTTCGTTGAAATTGATAGCTCGATACCTCGGTCGTTTTCCTGTTAAATAGTCAAAAAATTGATTCGTATTACGCAGAATGTTTCTTACTATGGTAACTGTTATGAGATTTCAACGTGGAATGTTTTCGAAGAAAATTCCTATTAGAAAACAGGGTTACCAAAAAGTGCTCTTTTGTTTTAGAACACAGGTTTACGTACCTCTTTGGCTTCCCTTTCGGCAATTGACGATCGTCCAGGTTCGTAGTCCTCGATGCGTCCAGGCTGATTTTTATAAGTCTCCGGAGTATATTTCAGTGCTCCATTCCTAAAATAAAGAAGAAACAATTTATATAAAAGAACACTTTTCAATTCTAATTGTACATTGTAGTAAACTGTTTGCACTGAAGTGTAGCGTTAACCCTTTGACGAGTGAGCTTTTTTCATTGTTGATTTTGTCAAATTTAACACTATTTTCTTTATTTTCGTATAAATTAAGTAAACAAAAAAGTAATTAAAAAAATCAGTGATTCGACAATTTTATTATACGAAGCAAATATGTTTTGAATGATATTATTTTTATAGACAAAAGCTGATATTTCAAAACGTGCTATATTTTTATTTATTTTCAACATTTTGAAGTATGTTCCTATTTCAAATATGATTCTGTGTTTTAGTAAAACACAGTGGCCTCCTTTTAAATATTTCTTTTCTGTTTCGAAAATTGTTGGTCGACTGATCTGTCTAATATGTGTATGTAAAGAAATGATAGTAATTTAATCGAAATTAGAAACGTGGCATGAAAAATATGACAACATAACTAACTAATTACAGTTAATAAGTAACAAATTATCAGTCAAATATTTTAAAGTCCAACAAAATATAGGAAGATAGTATAATCGAACAAGATTGAATTGTTCTTTGTTTTTGGCATTATAAAAATTAGGATGAAAAGTTCAAATCTTTTAACCCTCTGAGAATGATAGACTCGTATGTGTGTTCACAAAACACTATGAACGCAAGTAATAAACTCATAAAGGGTCTAGCCGAATAATCATGGTGTAAGTGCCTCTAAACCAGCTGTAACGTGTGATACGTCAATTTAAAAAGCTTCCTAGGAAAACCATTTCGACAAAGTTTCAGCCCTCTACCCCTATTATTAGGGTAGCTATCGACCTAAACATCATTTTCATTTCATACTTGATATCTTTTCTTCTATCCGATAAAAAATTATGAGAAAAATCTGAGATACTATAGCCAGAGTGTTACATATCTGAGAATTTTTTCAGATTTTTTGAATGAAAAACCTACTTCAAACAAATTAAATAACATTTAAAATGCCAAGTTTTCATTGACGTTATCAAATGACAACATTTATATTTTTACAATTGAAGCTGCCTGTCGTGTTTATTAACTCACAATTTTTTCAGATTTTTTGGAAACCTGCGCCATAGCTAGAAAAATTAAAAACCACTATTTTCTACCGTTTCGTGCACGTAAGAGTGACAGCAAGAGGTGCTTAAATTGAAAAAAACAAATATGATTACACTCCTTGAAATTCTACCTACAAAATGAGCTCTTTTGGCTGGACCCTTTTTCAGCAATGAAAATAGACCATGAACTCATGTATGTATATTTGCGGAAAATGTAATTTTCATTTAATTTAGTTAAAAACAAAAACTGAAATAGTGACCTAATTACATGTTACACACGTAATCATCTGCGGGAACTTTCCGGATGACCAAATATTTTAGCCCAAACTGAACCCATCGTACATCTGAACGAAATGAACACTAAACGTACCAACAGTTTATGTAGACTAGGACCCACTAATACTCTGCCATTTGGTGGGATCTAGCCGTGTAGGACACGCTCGGTATAATGGTATGCGTGCCCCTACCCAACGCCGTTTGGTTCGGGCCCGCCTTCGAGTTTAGACCTTGCTGTCCCTTTAAACGGCGTTTGTATAGGGGCACGCACACCATTATACCAAGCATGTCCCACACGGCTAGATCCTACCAAATGGCAAAGTGTTAGTGGGTCCTAGTCTATACGTATAGCTCTACACAATCAAATCGTTGCCGAACTTTATCAACATTTATCTCGGAAACTATTTGTTTGCGGCATATGGCTCCTTTTTCTCTTCTCGTCGAGCAGAATACGTTGATGTAAAAAACAAATTTTACATTAATTTTCAATGTTATAAACAATTTTGCGGAAACTTTTTTTTACAAATGTCCACCGATCGAAGGGTGTAGATTCACCCCCTGAAGCCGCGACCATTACTTTTTTTACACCCTGTACACCTATTCTTACCGTGGGCGGTCGAATGACCGGATATGAAATAATCATATTTTTCAGAAAGGAATACAGGCGATTGTCAATTGAATATAGGAAACAACGCAGAAGGTAGTCTTTAGGTAATAATAAAAAAAATGACATATTTAGATTTCTATTTTTAACAAGAACGGGAAAAAGCAGATGCATGGTTTTAAACCAAATTTTAAAACTGGTCATTTGACCGGGCGCGGTGCGTTTAGCGTTAAATACCGATTAAAATTCGATTCTTACTTCCTGGGCATAGTCGCCGTGGAGAAATCATTTTCCTTGTTGCGCAAGCGTCGGCGACTGTCGAAGGTGGCAGAACGGTCCGAGTATAAACGATGCTCCGGTTCGCTTAAATATCCACTGCCGCTTCCGCAAGCGTATCTCGTTCCTAGAGAAGAGATAAACTGATATGAATCTGAATTTGAGGGTTCGTTTGCGAACGTGTTAAAGAATTCTAGCGCTCATCCATCACCGGCAAACGGGAAAACTACGAGTACTTTGCAATGTATTTCGGTGTCAATGTGTAGAGTGAATTTCCGTAAGGCGGTTATCAAGCTGTTATCAACCAGCCTCTTGCTGATTACAAATAGGTGGCCAATAATTTCAATAAGTAAGTGGAGGGGTCAGAGGCCAATCGGTGTAAGTCCAACTTTCCCCGAAAATGAGTTATGTAGATCCAAAACCTCTTTATGTTGAAAACTTTCAGTTGATAAATAAATTAAGTCACTATTTTCATATACAAGCGATATATGGCAGCACTTTGGTTGACCACGGGATCACTAGATAAAAGTATTCAGTGGACAATCAGTGTAAGTCACTTTAAAGTTGTGTCAAGTTTATACCGTAGTGTTGATTACTTAATAAACACTTAAATGCTGTCTTCTTTACACGACGAGTAAAAGAAATGAAAATATCCCTCCTCTGTTATCAGAAAATCACCCTCCATCTGATAGCGAATCTGAATATTTACTTGACAATGAAAATTTATCTAATTCTGATTACGGTGAGTGAAATGAAGAGTTAAAAAAAAAAAGTCGACCGAATTCCATGTTCTGTAAAGAAATTGTTTCGTCGCGCAGGTACGGAACGCGTGGGGTCTTAGCTGACCGGATTTATGGCACGCTCGCACGAGAAGGTTATTTTTGAGAACAAAGACGCTTCGTAGCTCCGCGAAAAAGTAAGTAATTTCTTACAGAACGATGCCTTTAGAATTTCGACTTTTCCGCGTCCTCGATAACCGAAGACGTGTCATAAACCAGGTATTCCTGAAGGGTCAATCCACACGCGCGTATAACGGCACTCTCGGCCGAGGGTTGACCTAGCGGGAATTTCCGACGCGTCACCGAAGGACAGCGAAGATTCCACGCACCCACAGGTAGGGCCGCACTCCTTCCAAGGAAAAGCGCGCTAAGGGCGCAACGGAAGGGTGGGTGACACTCAAGGGGGCACGTTGATTGGTAATATGTGCGTACGTGAAAAACCAATCAGCGTGCCTTCTTGCACTTGGCGGGGGAGTCACTGCGGGCTCCAGAAAAATTCGGCAATCGAGCGACAGAGTCGAAAAGGTTCTATCGAGCGAACACCATTAGATCTCCAGCCGTTTGAGGAGACATCACGCACATTTCGAGTCGCGATCGAACACTCGAGTCATTTGAAACAAGTCGTCAATCGTTTCGTGATGTACTCTACGTTTGCTACGCACAGAGCAAAACAAATTTGAACTAATTTGAATTAATTTGGCGGGCAACAGTTGCGACCGCGAGCTTCCCTTTGAACATCGCAAAAGAGCGCGACGCGACAGAAACTCTGCAGGATGATTTTCCATTTTATGAGATCAACATAAAGCCCGCGTCAAGAATTTGTTCAATTTTGCTCGAAACTCATTGTATCCACAGTGTAGACCCGTGAAAGAAATAAAAAAGAAGCACATGTTTGATCTACGTTATATTCCGCCGCATTACCGCTCATTTCACCGAAATTTGACTACTGTCGTGTCCTCAACACGCACCACGCGACCGATCACCCCCACCGTTGACTTGCATCGCTTCTATCTACCTGCCAATAAGGGTTCGCGAAAGAGGCCTTTTTCTAGGAAAGGCGTTGATTGGCCCTTTTTCCGAATTAGCAGCTACAAAAAGATGTATAAAGGTAGCCTTCGCAAGCCCGAAAGCAGAATATGTACGGAGAGAAGCAGAGCGTGTACGGAGTGTACATATTAAAAAAAAAACCGAACAACGTAGTTTAACCTAAAACTAAACAACCAATAGGGAAACATCCATCGTGATATCTTCCAACCGAGAAATAAGATCACGGTATCAAACATCTACGATAAATAAAAACCGTGATGATCTTCTTTTGTTTCTGTTGTCAGCAAGTCCATTTGTATGTTCTACCAATATAAACATCGTTTTCTGCATCTTTACTAGCGTCGTCATTTTTTTATAACCAATTAACAAAACCCTTATTGATCTCGGTTTTAATGCTACTGGACTTACACTGATTGGCTTCTGACCTCCCCAAGTAGTGTTTGTTAAATTACACTTAGTACTGAATTCTTCGTTACAACTTTTACATGTACACGGGGTAATATATGCTTCTTATAATGTTATTATCTGTACAATATTGTAACGTGGGAATAAATGTTCCAGTAAATGATAGCGTATTATTGTACGCAGCATGATTAATTAACTCGATACCACTCTTTGTATCTTTTCAAATTAAGTGTTCAGACTTCTTCACATTCTGTGTAAAAAATGTCTGGTGTATCTAATACACAGTTGTCAGTTATGATAATTAGAAGCGTTGTAAGAGTAAAATTAAATATCTATTGTGTATCGAGGGAATAAAGGATGCATTAACAGAACTGCACATATTTTACAAAACATACATTTTTTTTTAAGGTTAACACTAATATATCTGTAACTATAACAGTCGATTTGTGTGTAAAAATATTATGTTGGTTAATTGATGCGATTACAAAAGATGTACAGTTTTTTAAAAGAAATTTTCTCTTGAAATAAATTATTGAACGGAAGCAAAATGAAATAATGGAGCCTTGCAATTTACTTCCGAAGGTTAGAAGTGTACATATGCACTACCGGCCAAATGTTTGGAATCACTGAGCATTGCAAATTACACAAAAATTTCCAGAAAAAAGTCGGCGACTTTGAGAATTTTTTATCGTCCGAATCAATTGATATGAGATAAATTGATAAATGTAGAATTGAGATAAACTTCAAATCTATAAAAAAATTAGCAGCAGATTTAATATTGATGAAAAGCTTTTGGCCGGTAGTGTATCTATTGAAAGTCAGAGCATATACAGGGTGGTCCGAATTTTATGGTACCAATTGGTTCAGGGAGATTTTATGGCTCGAAATAAGACGAAAATCAGGACTAATAAGTTTATTAGTTAGGTGCACACATACTCGACTGATTATCGAATGTGTTTTTCTCTAAAAAGAAGCTTCCTAAATTATTCCTATACGCAATTTCGTTATTCTTAATTTTCGTTTTATTTCGAGCCATAAAACCACCCTGACCCCATTTGTACCATGAATTTTAAATCACCCTTATACGGATCTATACTTTAGATCTTTTGACACTTTTTCACGTTTGAAAATATGAAAAAGAGCCTAAAATATGATTAAGAGTCAACAGCTACAGATACTTCTTTACGGTGCAAGTAAAAAATTCATAAATATAAATTCACTTCAACAAAATGATTGTAAATTTCAACCTTTTTCTTCTTTATTCCTAAGTTGAAGTAGAGAGAAACTAAAAGTCGAACGACGTACTATTATTTAAAAGAGGATTAATGCAAAAGTATTCCCATTTTATCACTTGTTTCTACTAATTGTATTGTTTCTCCTACTTAGAATATAATTTAATATAATTAGAATACAAATGATGTAATTTAGATGACAATGCACTGTAAGAGTCATATACCTTGTAATGGTTGTTGCAAATATCTAAAAAAATTTGTGATTACTTCACAGGACAATGACAACCATAAAATAAAATGGTTTCATATTTATAGTGTACAGTAGAATCTTTTCCAAAGGTAATAACACTCTAAATAAGTTGTAACGAGTTAATTATTCATTCAATTACAGAAGACGTCTTCTGGCTTGTATAAAATAATGTACTGATTAATTTAGAACATTAGATACTAAAAGTGAGACACTAGAGAATTTAGTAATACATTTCCTAGGAATTTGGAAGAAAGAGTAATATAAAAACTCTAATCTTTCTTCAACAGAATGAAAAAAAAAAACATGTTAATACTATCAATAATTACAGAAAAAAAAATTCAATAAGAAATCTATATCAGAATTGTATATGTGTTATTTCATATACAGGTTGGGCCACATAAAACAGACCACCTAATTATCTTTTATAGCTATGTAATGTAGCTTTTATTTTTTTCAAGGTCACCTATGTTTTTTTACATAAACGTATATATATTTTTCTACTGTACATTGTAGCACACATTGATGTGCGTTTAAACATGCATAATAGTGACCTCAGAATGACCTTGGGCTCTAAAATTTTAACTCAAATATGTAACTTCCTTTCAATTTTACCATTTCTTCCATAAAAAAAAAAATTTGTCTTACACCTTATTCACTCTTTGAAACCACTTAAATTACGTATCAAAATTTTCTCGTACCACCATAGCTGGAGAAGACAATTAGGTGGTCTGTTTTACGTGGCCCATCCTGTATACTGTATACAGGGTGTCCCAGGTTTTAACGGCCAAACGTTGTCAGTATATTCCATGGGTTGAAATTAGTAAAAAATGTTATACAAACATAGGTCTTTTGAAACTTTATTAAAAAGTTATGGCAATAATACGAAATTAAGAGAACAACAGCAGAATCACGGTTACTGCGATGTAATGCAGAAATAGATCATCGATATTTGCGCGATATTTATAAGATCGCGTACTGAGTTGATACGAAAAATCAACGATGCATTTACTGAAATGAAACAAAATAATAACAAAATTCGCAGAGTAATAAATTCTGTTATCTGATGTCAATCTTGCATTGCAGTGGACATTTTTGAGATGGAGTATTAGTTGCTTCTTGCATAAACAGAGTAAACGTAAATATTGCTGATCTGTTTCTGTATTACACATATCGCAGTAACCGCGAGTCTGCTATTCTTCTCTTAATTTTGTATTGTTGCCATAACTTTTTGATAAAGCTTCAAAACACCTACACTACCGGCCAAATGTTTGGAATCACTGTGCGTTACAAGTTATACAAAAATTTCCGGAATAAAGTTAGCAATTTTAAGAATAATTTAACCAATTTTTCCTCGCTCAAATCAATCGAAATAAGGTAAAATACTATCGATCTCCGCAACATCAATTTCAAATCTATAAAAAATTAGCAGAGGATTCAATTTTACCGTAAATTAGCGGGCGATTCGAAACTGTTGGCCGGTAGTGTATGTTTGTATAACATTTTTTTCTAATTTCAACCCATGGAATATACTGACAACGTTCGGCCGTTAAAACCTGGAACACCCTGTATAATTTCAGTAGTACTAGGTCATCCCATAAGTTCGTGCCACAGGCGAAAATCCAAGGGAACTCTATAGCGACGACATAATGGTCTCAGCAAAACAAAATTGCAAAAAGTTGTCGACTAAAAAGGCGCTTGTATTTTTTTTTCTTTAACACGTTAAACGCCCAGCCTGTTTTGCTTACCGTTCCGTTCAGGTCACACTTGGCCGTCAAGTGGGCCATACGAACTATAAACAGAAGACGACTAACGAAAAGTATACTGTCAGTCGCCGGTGACTGACATGTCGCTTAACGTGTTAAATCAAATTTAAAGGTTCGTCGGAAATATCGATCTAAATAATAAAATTCGACACGAACTCGCGGGGTCGACCTATTATCAATTTCGTTACAAGAACCACACGTTGCATCGATCAGCAAACTTTTTTTTTCATAGGATCCAGAAAACAGCCTATACATGCGCGTGTACGCGGAAACGATTAATCAGAAAAAAAGCTGAAAGGGAAACGATTGATTATGGACGTTAATCGGTAGCAGGATGTTAAATAAAGGCCGGAAAACACTCGCAGTACACGATCCTCGTGTATCAATCAGATCGTGTATTGTTACTTTCACACACGAATGATTAGCATGGTTAAAACTGATCGCTATAGTTATCTCGTGTTACGTAAGTCGTCGATACGTTTGGCACACACTGTGAAATGCCGTCGGTAATGTCAGTTGTTGCGCGCCGCCTTTTCGGGGTTAAAACGAATTCGACCGAAGAAGAAGGCCATCGTCGCGACATGTTAATAACTGACTTGTTCTAATATTAGTACGCGTTTAGATCGCTCAGTTCGTCGGAGTGTATCTATTCACCTCTTCTTGGTTTGTAACGAATGGTTATGTAGTCATCTGAAAATGAGATGAAAATATCAATCTCACAATTTGTTCATTTTTCTTAAAATAATGATCGTTTATTGAACTGTTTCTGAGAAGTATCATTCTTACTCGATATAAGCAACTAGTTAAGAAGTATTATTTTAATCTGGTACCGACAAGTAAACTGTAGGTTTTATTTTGAAAAACTGGAATATCATTCTTTGTTACTATTAGTAATGCTCTAACACACTGTGCTCTATTGTATGCTAATAAAAAAAAAAATACTTTAAACAGTAACAAACGTTTCAATTTACTTCGATAAAATAAACAAAGTAAAATGTTATTTAATAGTAAAAATACAACTAGTAAATCGCAAGAAAGATGCATTTCACTGTGATATTTGGAAATTTTTCGTACGTGGTTTGTACAAATTATTAGAATAACTGTTCTCGAAGAGTAATACGGAGCAAAAGTATCGAATGAAATTAATTGAAAAGGAAATAGAGAAATGTTTGTTTATTCTGTTACATTTTAGAAAATTATTTGGTAACCAGTACCGAGAGAGAGCCAATTCGAGTTAAACCTATTCGATACATCACAATTTCATAACATTATCTTCAACACTCGTTAGGCTAGTTAAAAGTAGAAGTAAATACTGCCCAGCAGCTTGGTAATTATTAATTGCTGTTAAAATTCTCAATTATCTCGCGTAAGCATTGAAGCTGTAATACAGTATTTGCCACACAAACTCACCGCTTCTGTCTGCACGATGCAACGAGTCGTACATTTTCTTATACCATTTTGTTTGATTATTCTCCTTGACTTCCTAAAATATTTTGCCTCTTTAAATCGAATGACGCAAAAAATTTTTAGTTATTTATTTTAAAAATCAATATTTTATTACTTATTTTAAAAATCTGTTATTCGCTAATTTTAAATTTAAAAATTGATAAAACGTAGTAAATACCTTCATTTGAACTAGAAAATTATTTTCAACAATATAATTGCGAAGAATTTATGTTATAGCTAAAAGTTAACAAAAATATGCGAGAATTTTGATGTTTTTTTTTATGACATACATGGAGGATACATTTTTTAAATGATTTTGCAATTGTGCGTTATTTGAAGCAACACTATTTCAACAGTGAACTTTTGGCGAAAATGTTATGTTTGTACGCACTGATTGTAATTCCAAATTTGAAGTATTATGTTTAATTTTACAGGTATAAGTGTATTATTGAAGTTTGAAATTTTTTAATTAACACCTTACTGCAAAAATTGTACTACTTTTAGATATGTACCACCATTCAATGGAGTTGAAGTTGTACTGAAGTAAAAACTGAAAATAAGTTTCCTTGTACAGAACAATTGTTTATAGTTTATTCAATCGTTATTGTAACTATAAATTTGATAGTACATTTGGCATATAAGTGCACTGAAAGACTATAAATTCACTTCAACAAAATAGCTGTACATTTGAAGCTTTTTTCTTCTTTACTCCTAAGTTAAAGTAAAAAGAAACTAAAAATCGAAAGACGATGTGAAAGTATTCCTATTTCACTATTTGATTCTACTAATTGTTTTGCTTCTGCTTCTTAGAATATAATTAAATATAATTTTAACACAAATGCTTTAATTTGGACAACAATGTATACGACAAAAGCATTGTTATCCAACGATTTAATAAAACGTACTCAAAAATTCTGATAACACAGTAAGGAATTAATTAAAAAAAAAAAAGTAGTCTCAGTAGAAAGCTTCGTGTTATTGAATCTAAAGCTTTCAGTAACTCAGTAGACCTACCGATCTTAAAACAAGAGGAATACCCTCCTTAGTCGTTGGGCCAATACCCTCGAATTTTCGAGAACTCAAATCGGCCATCTTCTTCGGCTGTTCATTTTCCGTTTCCGGCTCGCTCTCGTACTCTTTCTTCACGGTGTAGACTGAGCGAAGATCAGTTTAATTTCACAATGCGGCAACCGTGAAACTCGACTTGCGAGTACTTCAACTTCAAAGAACGATTTATCGTATCGCGTGTTATGTCGAAATCACGGAAATCCTTCCCTCGACTTATACACGGCAGAAATAAATTGCACTTTAAAAAAGTGGAATCCGTAGAACGAAGTTCATGGATACGATCAAGCTCGAATCATGTATAAGCAGTGCACGGTAGTGAAATATTTACGATTATGCGGTCGTATGAAAAATGTACTCACTAATTTCACCAGGACTAATTATTGGCTTTTCGTCGCTCGGTGGACGTTTTATCGCCTCGTTTTCCTCTAAGTAGGCCGCTCCTTTTGGCAATTGTCCCTCTGAAATGCATAAAATAATAACGAGTTTGATAGAATGTTTTGTAATGGTGTAATTATAATTTAATCAAACAGAGGTGATTGCAATAAAATGAAAAATTGGTATACTTTTCGGTTACGAATTAAAGTTTTGTTATAACTATAATTAACTATAAATAATATAATTGATACAAATTTTTGCAACTTATTTACTCCAGAAAAATCGACCACTAAAAGTATAATTCAGGATGATAGTTGCAATTTACGAAGTTACTTAATTCACAAATTATTTCTTGCACGCTACTTTGTCTCTTACCTCTTGCTTTTTGCAGCAGAGTTATGGTAGGATTCTGTGCACGTGGCAGACGGGGCGTTGAAGTTAATGAATTTAATCCCTGCGACGGTGCTGAGTGCGAATTAACAATGCGCGAACTGCTACTCTCATAACTGCTCTGTGATATTTCCTTCTTTTCCGCTTCCGTTTCCCAAGGTGGCGCCGTCTGCTGTGCAACCAAAAGATGTGAACATAATTAAAATATAAATAATATGAATGAAAACATTTCAGCAGTGTACTCGATACATTTGTCAGTTTAATAGGACAATTAATAGAAAATTTTAATGTTAGACAGGTACCTTATAATGTAATTTTATAATAATATAATTATAATATTAGAT